CCCCAAAACCCCAAAACCCCAAAACCCCAAAACCCCTGGTTTAGAAAAGGATATTGAAAATTATAGTTCAAGGTACAGGTCGTCTCCTATATTCCTAAACGGTGGCTTTAGTTTTAAGAAAACTTCTCTCCTTCTCTTCTTCATTCGGATGAAGTAGGTAAAAATACCAAGTTTACAAGTCCAGAAATTCATCTGGCTCTCAATAATTCTCATGTGGAAGTATTCCAGCATTTTTCCTTGGAACACAGGGATATTTGATATTTCTAGGTGATGGATGTTATAAAGGTTCAACATGGATCACACACTGAGGACTAGTTTCTCATTCCATCTCTGAGGCATCTCCTGGTCTCTTAAAATAGGGTCATCCAGCATGTAAATCTCCACTTTCTTCTTCCTCAAGTCTAGAGTCAGATCTATGTTATATTTTGGATTTAAGTCGTAAAGCAAAGCTGTAGGTCCTGGCATAGGGAAAGGATTGATACTCTTATGGGAGTTCACAAAGAAAAACCGAATCGTTTTCACATAGTCAATTATCCCATCAAGATTATGCTTTTTATCTGTCGGATATAAATCGACTGAACTGATATCACTCATTTTAATAAACAAGCATGAGAGACCTTTTGGGGTAGAAAGCTCGTATCTTCAAAAGAACTTTTTTATCCTCTTTGGCAGCTTTTTGTAAACCTTGAGTACTTTCAAGTTCTGAATTTCTTCAATACAACTGAAATCAGAAATGATAACTTCTCCTCTAGCAGTAGCAATATATGGTTCCTCTTTTTCTCCGTTAATGTATGATGGGAAAATTCGCCTGAAATCTTCAGAATCATCTTTTAAAACTCTGAGCTTCAACATATCAGCATGGACTTGAATATGAGTTAATTTATACTGATCTTCCTCTTCTCATGTTGGTGTTTTCTTCACAGATAAAATCCAAAACGGGATGTTTTTTGCTACTATATAGTCCCATTGCTTAACAGTATGGTTAATTCTCTCAAATAAGAGCCTAAAGTCAACATCCTGCTTCTCTCTTAACAGGTACTGAAATTGATTTTCTATTCGTCGGCCTGAGCCTCTGAGTCAATAATATATCTCTTCAAAATTTGGAAATTTCTTCAAAATATTGAACACCTTTTTGTCAACCTTACTCGACGTCTAAACCCTGTCAAATAGTCTAAACTTACCACAACATGCTTGATCTTCACCCTTCTCGCCCTCATCACATCATTTCTCTCATACAAATAAACCTTCTTGTTCCCATTCATATAAAAATCCACGAACAAATTATCATATCCCACTACTGCCTTCATGCACAGGTAATCATAAGCGAACTCTTCAACAGGAGGGATCTCCTGTTGGAAGTAGGCTATTGAGTAATTTGCACCGCCAAGCTTGCGGATTAGGAATCCGAATGAGCAATCGGGGTATTTTTCAGTAAAAGTGGTGATCATGGAAGGGTAGAGGGAGAAGTAGGTTATGAAGGAGTGCTGGAGTACGGAATGGAGGCATGGGTTGGAAATGAAGGAGAAAGTGAATTTGGCAAGGGTTGTGACGTGGGATTGGGCGATATGAAGGTTCAGAGTGAAATTTGGAGCCATTTGGTTCATAAATCTTTCTAGGATGATATCCATCTGATATGGTCTGAGGTAGAGCTCGAATTTGTACAACATTATTGATGGAAATTCCTTAAACACTTTCTCAAATATCATAAACGAGCTATTGAGTCTATTCTTCATTGTGGGCACTTTATCTTTCCATATTTCCAGCATCTTTGGCAACATTGTCCAATTTTTCTTTCTCAGTTTCTTTGATAAGTAGATCATTAAATACCGGATCGCCTTGTGCTTGTCTCTAAAATAGCTAATTATTGTTTCTATGACCTTAAACTCCTTAAAGATATCCTGTATTGCCATACTGTTCCACCCCAACTACACACTCAAGTATCTGGCTGCCAAACTAAGCATTCACTGGTTGAACAATTGTTTTCTTGTAGCGCACATTAAGAGTTAATTCTAGAAATTTTGAAAATTTTATGAAGAAATTTGTGAATATTAAGAATGAGGGTTTAATTCAAAAAATATTGAAAAGGGGTTTTGGGGTTTTGGGGTTTTGGGGTTTTGGGG